AGTAACGAATATTCTATCAAGGGTATCGAAAGATGTATACAATTTTAAAGGTACCATAAGGCATTTTTCATTCTTTAAGCATAACATTTTTGCTAAAATTTATATTTTTGTAGTTCTAAAATTTTATAAAACAAATTCATAATCAAAATCGCTGTTGTTAGTTATCGAAAAATAACCAAGATGTGATGTTCGCGTAAATGTCACTAAACTATACAAATTGCTATTATCCATCACACTATGAATGTTTCTTTTATGCGGAAGTGTCCCGTTTTTCGGTTTGTATGGAACAGTCGTGTGTCGAAATACTATCAGAACACTGTCAAGCGAGTTTCTGAATGTAAACAAAAAACACCCGATCTGGTGACCGAAGCTTCGGAGCCAGCGCTTCAATTGTAATGCCGGTTTGGCCAATCCTTCCTTTCTTACTTCCATGCTTCTTCCAGAGTGCCATTGCACTAACGGACATTCAACGGGACATAAGAACATTCACATACGATTTATTGGTAATAATTCTATCATCGAATTTATTGTTTGATGTATTTTGGTCACATTTTTTTAATGATACGGAGGGACATATTTTCTATTTGCCGTATGGCTTTTGTGGTATTTCGTTGGTAATATGTCACGAAGTTTACTGCAGTCTCTCAATTCATGGTACCCGCACACTTTAGGCCTTTTAGGGGGACATATGCAAGCAGTTTGCGCGTGATATATTTGCTGACAAGGAGATATATGAGATACTAGAAATTACATAGCTGCTTACAGTTTTCTGGCTTGGAAAGAATAAGTAAAAAGAACAGTAAAGTAGCATATGGGTACCATCAATTCCAATTTAATCTTCCTCTATAAATTCAGTAGGAATATTAGGTACATTAGTGTCAATGGGTAAGCTTCTAATGACAACCTTAAGGTTACTACACTTGGTCAGAAACTACAAACGCAAATCAATTTTTTTTATTAAGGTAATGATCGTCTGTGGGTCTTAGTACCATTTACTTTAACAACAAAGCAACCGTCACTGGTTATGTTGGAAATAACGATTGCCTGGAATCCTTCAACTTGGCTGACTGAGCTAATTAATTAAGCAATTTTAAGATAGGTAACCTCATGCAGTTACTTATCTTCGCTTTTCTAATCTTTTTTAAGATTATATTTTTCATGAAAAACTACGAGTGCATTTTTATAGAAGAGATTAATTAAATAATGACCTTTAATAGTTAACTACATTGATTTATTAATCTATTAACTGCTATGCGCAGCATTAATTTTCTAATCATTTTCAGTTTTTGGATGTTTAAGTTTCTTTCTTGCTTTTTATTTAGCAAAAATTAATTAATTTAAAAATATGAAGTACAGAGGTAAAAAATATTCCTCATACTTTCTTGCGCTCGCGAATCGTTATGCGAATATATATTTACAACTTTTAAAGCCCCAGAAACATTACTGCGATGTTATCCTCATGCGATGTCTTGTTAAGTGTTTTACAGTTTACCAAGATATTTTCTAAGATGACGTTTTTAAACTGCGATGTTTCTGAACCGCTTTATTTTCAAAGACTATGCTTTATACCACGATGTTTCAGAAATTCCATGTTTTTCCCTTGCTTTTCTCTCACGATGTTGCGCACGACGATGTTTTCGGCTTGCGTTGTTTTATTCGCGAAGCTTTTGTCGCGATGTTTTCCGCAGATAACGTTGCATCATGTCTGAGATGTATAATTCTTGTATGAACTGCCTCCTATTCTTCTCTTATATGAAGGGAGATCAGACTTGACAATACATTAACAGCGTTTGTTGCTGTTGTTCTGTACGCTTTGTATAAATTAAATGTGAATGAATTTTTGATCATTAGAAGCATTTGTTTCTCCCCTCTCCCCATTGGTTGCGACCACACTGCAGCGGCGTATAACGCTATTTTATTTTTTTAATAACTGTGGTATATAGTATTTTCTGTACGTCGGGTTAGGCCCTCAATTCATTCCTTGAAATTGCTTTGTTTTCCTGGCTACTGCACTAACTTTTGTAAGGCTTGGATATGTGGAACGCAAGTGAGACCTTGATCCCGCACCTGAACAAGGCATTTCCTTTTATGTACTATCTTAATGTTTTGCTTTGCAATGTAATGCGTGGGCGCCTGGTAGGGTTTGTTTTTTGTTTGGGGATAATAAGACACACAGTTTTTTCGATTGAGATTTCTAATTCATGGTTTTTGCAGAAGTCAGAAAATTTTGCACACATTGCTGTGCCGAAGTTTTCTATTTCATTTCTCGTGGGACCTTTGACAAGAAGAACTACATCGTCAACATAAGCAATCAAGCTGATATGTTCTGGCCAATTAGCGTCAAGTATAAAATAGAATGTTAAGTTCCACAAAATAAGGACCCGCGCAAAAAACTTGTTGGAAGCCTCCTGGATTTTGGAAATAATTCTGCTGTTCTGTACTATTGTTAATGAGCGGTTTGTCAGATAACTTATAAAAGTTTTGTAGAGTTTGGGTGGACATTGGCAGCTTTGAGTGCTCCTTTCATAGCCGGCCAGCGTACCGTATTGAAGGCGCTTGGAAGATAATTGAAATAAAGGTTGCGTGGAGATCAGCGTTTCTGTTACCTTGAATTTTTTTCCGCATAATATAATATTAAGAGCATTAATCATAGAAAGGCCACTTCAAAAGCTATATTGTTTTGGGGTAATGTTATTATTACTATAGAGGTTATACCTTAGTCTGTTGATGAGCAGATTTTCATATATTTTGCCAAGAGCTGGACGAAGACAAGTAGGACGTATAGAGTGTGGCGTTTTGATACTAGATAGAATAACTACTGTATGTAGAGCACCCAACCTTGAAATATGAAAAACCAGGAAGGCATTTTCATGCTTCACTGGCAACGTGACTTAAAAAGATCAACACATTTCACTCAAGATCAGTTGGTAATACACCACTTCAATAATTCAACTCGTTAAAACATAATTCTGAGATAAAATATTTTTAATTATGTTTTAAAATATTTATTTTATTTTAGGTTCCCTGTACCGTCATTTCATTTTTAATGGTCTTAAAATTTTTTACTGATGAAAATGCACACAGAAAAGATAAAATCTTTCATTTATCTGTAACATCCTAACTAAAATAAACTTCCTTGAAAGCTAGAATACTGAAGAACTAGCTAGCGACTAGTCGCTAAGTTCTTGTGAGTTAGAAAGAACTCTGGAGAAGGGTTAAATTACCCTTTTATTCCAACTCAAAATATATTTACGGATGGCCTCTCTCGGGCGTAAAAGAAGCCTCCACTTTGGCTTTAACACAAAATAGAAAATATAACACTAATCTAATGCTAAATAAAATTAACCAGCCAAAGTTGCACGGAATCAAACTCGCGGCGTTGGCTCTTAATTAAGGATAACCGGCGTAAGCTAGCAGGCACGTATTAAGTACGGCCGTAGAATAGTAAGATTAAACTAATTGTAACAATGCGGCCAAAAGGCAGAACACACTCTCCTACTGAAGTAACTCAAACCTCAGCTTAAATACTTGTTTCTAACTTATTTGCATAAATTGTAATCCTGAAAACTAATTCTGGTAGGGAACGTAAGTGAGAAACTAGAAGATAAAGAAAAGGCTTATTCCAAAATAAAAATTTCTATTAGAAAAATAAAGTAAAAACTTGCATATCAAAGTGCTTTTGTTCACGATAAAAATACAACTTGTAACTAATGTATATTTAACCATGAGGATAAACTTAGTTGTCTACCGTTTAAAAATTTAAAGCAAAAGTAAACATTAATATTTGCCAATTAAAGATCCGTTAAACGTTTAGGAAATACTTTATAAATCTCTTTAATGCATTAAAAAGAGACCAGGTCGAACAAAAATTGCTCAGAAAAATTAAGCTGGAAATTCACCCGGGGAAAAAATATAACTTACACAATTTTCATTTTCATTAAGGGATTAAAAATACGATAAAAGCCCTAACGCTTTTCAGAACTTGTTATCAAACTTTACTTCACGGCAATTCCTTTTCTATTTTACACTTAGTGATCAACAGTTCTCATAAAACAGCAGGCTTCTAAACTATTGCATATAACTGAAACAGTTTAAATCCAGAAAAATTAAAAGCTGAGAGATCTCGGAGTGCTGGCAGAATAATGGAAGTTGAGATGAGAAACCAGAAATTTTCAAGTTAGCCAATCAGTGCTAATCCGGGTATACCAGTGATTGTTATTTACATTTCCTTTACACACATTTCATAAAATTAGAAATTTTTATAATGAATCAAATACAAAACAGCGATCAAGGATTTTTCTACTTTAAGAAAAAGTTAACGACTTAAATCCTTCAAGAATTAGTTTACTATACTTTTTATAACAGAAGCAATGCATAATATAATATATAGAACTAAATTATGGTTAATGGGTACCTCCAAAAGACTTAAACAGACATAAAATTCACACTATTCAAAAACATATTCGCATACAATGGTGTAGCTCGGGTGGGGCAAGGGGGGTCATTTAACCTCGGGTGCAGCTTTCTGGGGGCGCCAAATTGATGTTACGAAATTTTAGAATGAAATGTTTTTCCATTCTGGCACAGAGAAAGGGGCGCAAAATCTTCAGTTGTCCCCGGGCGCTGAGAACCCTAGCTGCGCTCCTGTTCGCATATTATGCAAATGTGCTACCACATATTTCAGAAAATAACTTACTATATTCTCATTTTTATTTATTTATTCTACCTAGCAGCAGAATAATCTTGAAACTAAGGTTCAGCCAAAATGTCTCTTATTTTCATTGAAGTTAAAAATAATTCCTTAACTGATATCAAAAAATATTTCCTTAAGTAAACAAATGATTTTCATTTTCATTCAAATAAAATATTTTCTTAAACTGAAAACACATAAATAAAATATTTTTGGTTCTCTATGGTTGCTAAGGTTTAAAAATTTATTTTAACTAATGCAATGAGGAAAAAGTAATTAAAATTTTAAAAAGCAAGTATTTTTCTCTTACCTCTGATGATATTCTGTAAAATGTGTTAACATATGCACATCCACCTAGTAGGCCTTCATAAAATATTAGAGCAAGTACAATCCATATACTTGGGATAAATGAAAAGTAAATCTGTAGCAATAATATTATCATATTGAAGATCTGAAATAATAAAATACAGTAATTCCATTATATTAACTAATTCATAAAAAATTTCAAAATTCCATGTTAAAAATTCTGCATCTCAAGAATAAATAAACAATGCAGTAGTAATGAGAATATGGGGGTACAAGTATCAAAGCACTTATTAGGCATTGTTTATTAACATTTGTTAGGTTTATCTACTTATTTTTAAATAATACACTCATGGACAAAAAAATTAGCGCACCAAGAATAAGGCGGATCGTAACAGCTTGCCATGAAGGTACAGTTGGGATATATCAATGATTGAAATGCCGCGTATTACCATTACGTATAGCGTAGAGGGCGTTGACGTCGTACTCGTGGAGTACAAACAGTAACCAAGCTTGTTTGAGTGCGCTGACTCATTTAAAAGAAGACTGAGGTGACTGCCATTAGCGGCGTCGAAGACAATTGAGCAGTTTGAGAGGGGGAGATCGTCGGTGATGTAAACTGGGGTCAGCTAGGCGAGTAGCGCCATTAGCCGCTCTGATTGTTGTGAGGAGGTGTTTGGACCAGTGACAAGAGATGTCATGTACACGAAGCAGCTCAGGACCTCTCGCAGCCAGTCGCGAGAGAGCCACACGGAAAAATGCACGCGTAAAATCACTGCTTACGCCGCCTCCAGCACAGTAGCCTTTCACTAGGGGCCCTGTGTCTTCTCCAACCAGACGAAGCGCCTGGCTGAGACAGTGGTATCGCGGCCCCTTACGTGTGCTGCCGCGTGATGCCCGCCCATCGACGCCTCCGTTTGGAGGTGGCCGAGCACGAGAAACTGACTGCAGCGGATGAACCAGGTCGTCTTAGCACGAATCAAATTCATCTCGGCAGGGAGACATCGGTCGTGTTGAAGAGCCTGTGTGAACGCCTCAATCCTCCATTGCTGTACAGCTACAACGCTCCCCGCTGGTGATGTAGGGTGCCATTGCCTACATGCACGGTCACCTGTAGTATGTTTTGGCACCATGACAGCCTAGCGGTATTTCATGAAATCCTCACCACAGTGTGCCACTCATAAAGGCCCGGGCCATGTTCAACAAGACAGTGCTGGGCTCATCGTCAGGGTGTCACAACGTCTCCGCACTGTTACTACCCTTCCTGGCTGCGCGATTCCAATTTGGTCCATCGAGCATATCTGGGATATTTGGAACGAGGTAGGCACCCACTAGTTGACCTAACTAGATCAGGTACTGCAAATATGGAACTCAATGTCTCAAGACATCATACAAACTTGTATGACTCATGCCCGATCGTATCGCATCGTGCATTTCGCGCTAGAGGGATTCAACGGATATAACGCTCCGTTCTTTGCCTTTTTCTCTGAATAATTATTCTTTTCTTTGATTTCTTCATTTACTTATATCAAAGTATTCATTACGTATGTAAAATTTCGTTTCATTTTGACGACTCCTTCTTGGTGCGCTAACATTTTTGTCCATGAGTGTAGTTCATTTTAAGTTTGACTACCTTTCCTATTACTCTCTTTCCACCTACGCTTTTCATGCCAGAATGTAAGTGAGATAGCGAGAGTTTATTCAGACTACGTTTAAAAAGAAGTGCTATTTAAGTAAGAGTTTTGAAAGTTAGTTTTAGTGCATGTCTGCCTATTCTAGGCCACGTTGTGCTGTGGTTGTTAGTGACTTGAGTTAGCGGCGTTGAGTGTTTCTAGCCATTTGACTTTGTCTCGTCGGTTTACTACCAACCAGAGAACTTCCTGTGCGCTTAAGTATTCCGTGAGCCTTTAGGCTAATCTACCACACCGAGAAATTGTTATTTGTTACGTATTTCTGTTAAGCTAGAAGTGCTTATGTAAACCCAAGTTGGGTCATTTGTTGTGTTCGAATAAAAGGGTCTTATACACCAATCTTCTGATTTCTGTTTTGTTTCAGAAGGCTAGAAGATAATTCTTCAAGAGTCCTTTTAAAGTCTATAGTTTATGTTTCTAAAGAGGCATAGATTTTATACATTTATCAAAACTGTTAAAAGATACTGATGATTTTTTGAATCTATACTGCTTGACAACTGCTAAGGAATAGCACGATATTTTGGCACACTAAATGACTGAACGCAGAAGATCTAATTTAGAGCTATAGAAGATCTATAAACAAAATGATGGTTGTAAAATTCTTCAAATTACAAAGACTTAAATGGGCTGTTTATCTGGCCGGAATGCATGAAGATCAGTGATAAAAGAAAATCTTTCTGGCAAAGTCCATGGGAAACAGACCTCTGGGTAGACTTCCAGTGAGATGGCTCGTTTGTGGTAAAAATGACCTAAACATTCTTAAGGTCAAAAACTGGAAAACAGTTGCCAAAAGCAAAGATGGCTGGAGAAGGCCAAGGCTTACCCTGGAATGTCGAACCAATGAAGGAAAATGATAAAATGCACATTGCTCTAGAAAACAAAACATCTCAAATCTGCAGGAATGAAACTATGGCACTGTTGCGTGCGTACAGGTTCGCAACAGATTGAATGCACACAGGTCCAATGATAGGTGGATAAAATTTATTTTTTATCAAAAGAAACATTTCAGAGTTCTGGAACTTTCCCCAGATATAATCGTATAGGTTTTCACAGTATCACAAAGTACAATCAGTAGTTAACACTTGAAACTACTAAGAACGTTAAACACAATGCAAGCAAAGCGCATCTAAAAGGCGAAACTCTCAATGCTCCGAAGGCGCTCTGAACTGCTCACAGCTACAACTGAGAGAAGATGCTCTGTCCGGTTTTATACACCGGAAAGAGCATCTTCTTATTTTTCTTCCGGCCGCCGAGATATTTCTAGTACTTTCTGCTTCTCGAAGTTTACAACTTATTGGTTAGCTAATTTGTATTAATTAGTTTCTTTAATTAATATGTTTAATGTTTTAATCAGTATTATGTTTTGTTGACCTAACAGTTTTGATTTTTGCGGTTCTGTTAATGAAAATATTCTTTAGATAGTACAATTATTGGCGACATAGAGCGTCCAATTTAACAAGTTCTGACAGTGACCCTGATTTTTTTTATTTCTTAACCCTCTCGCTGCGCATCCCGCGATTTCCACGGGAAGCGCAAATGTAGCAAAAATTGCGCAACCCGCGATTTCCCGCGCGGGGATGAATTTTTGCCAACTCTGCAACCCGCTCTTTTCCCGTTCAAGGTTTCCTTTCGGCTTTTCGTGCTGGCTTTAGTTTTCCTCAAAATTTTGATCGGAGGTCGATCAGCGGTAAGCTAACGTGGTTGCCGCTGATTGGCCGATTACGCAAAGCGACGGTTTGGCCGGTATAAATAGATATTACGCCGGTATCGGCAATGTTCTTGTTCTCTTGTGATTATCAGTTAGCTTAGCTATTTTGCTTTCAATCAAAGATTTTAAATGTAAAGCACAGTGTTAGCTCTTTATTTATTACGGACTAAGCATGAATTTTATTAGTTGTTTCTTTATTTGAGGGAAGCAAATATTTGCCTTATCACCACTGCCACAGGATATGGGCCCAGCGCCAACAGCTATGTATCCAGTTCACTCAGCATTGAAGGAAATGTAGGGAAGAGGGCCGTTTCCGAAAGAAGCTGACCTGTCTTAGAAGTTGTTCAGTCGTGTGCTCACAATTAATTAAGATGTCATTACTACCTGAGATTTGAGTTGTAAACCATGACAAAGGGATCGATGGAAAGTCGACATGAACTGCTGTGCTGGATATTGTGGAGCTCATAGAAGACAAAAGAAATTAGATAAAAGTGCACAAGGCGTGAAAAGCATAGTTCACACTGAGGGAGAAAGCCTCACATTATATTACGGAATTAAGCTGAGTTCACCGCGATACAGAATGTTAAGTGGTAAAGAAGCCTGGGAGTTCTACAGAAGCAATTCGAACTCAAACAAGAGCAAGGACAATTTAGTTACGGGATGATTTTTAGTATTAATTACGCAAAATGAAGAAATAGGATATTATCGCGAGGATAAATGACTGCAAAGAGTTGGCTGAAGCGGGCATTTTTTAAAGGATTCCAGGCAATAAGATTACCCCGAATACTCCGCTTGTAATTTGAGATATAGGGGAGCGAAGATTTACGCTGAAAGAATTGCTAGAGCTGGTAGGGAAGAAGCCGACTTCGCAGGGAAACGCCGATTTAGAAGACGCAAGGTAAGCGTGTTTAATCTATAGTTTACGAGGAAAGATAAGTGAAATAAAACTAAATCTAAAAAAAAATGGGGAATAGAGAAAAGGACTTGTTTCAGAGTCATAAATTTGGGCACTTAATTGCTCAATTAAGAAAATGTAGTAAAATCAATTAAATAGCGATAAAAATGGACAGTTAAGATAAAGAATTATGTTAGTAGAAAATTAGTAACAACTACAGATAAGGAGTAACGCAGATCAATTTAATGGTCGTAGAACTGCAGCTACACTCATTTCGTAATAGAAATTTAATGACAATTCGAATAAATACGATATACGTAGTCTTTAGCTGTAGGAAATTGTGAAGTAAGTACTAGAAGGGAACTGTCAATTTGCCAGTAAAATGGCATCGATAATTGATGAGTTAGATAATGTGTTCTAACCACTAGAAGAACTTATTACGGAGCAAGGTTAAAAAGCTGGTGCTCATTTTTGATTCAAAGGAAGATTGGATATACTTTAATAATTGGGAGATTATGCTACGCAAACGATATACGCTTTATCACGTGAAACCATTTAGATATGCAACAGGTAAAAGGAGCGGTTACGGTACAAATGGAAAGTTAAAAAGACGATGCAATGCTATGGCATCGGAATTTAGCACGTAAAATTTGATTATATTAGAACTAGTAAGAATCAAAGCGTGAAAGGTACCAGAAATTAAAACCAATAGAGAGTGTAATCGTTATTATTGCTAAATCTAGTAGAATAACTTTTAAAACTGTTCCGAAGAGATCGGATAAACCATTGTTTAGACGTTTGTGGCCCACTACCAGTTCCATCTAAGAATGAGAGTAAATATTTCCTTGTTATTG